CCCGAACTATCTCCCTCCTTTAAAAAATAAAAATAACACATACAAAATTTATTAAAAAAAAAATATCTAGTGGACAAATGTTCATCAACTTTTGGATACCGTAGCTGTAGTAGCAAATTTATTGTTTACAAGTTGTTTAGCTAAATCTCTGCAGGCAATATACAAATACATAATGTGAAATTTGTAAATATCGACATAAAATTGTTTATAGAAGTTTTAACCAAAACTAAATCCATTTTTATGTTTAAAAAAATTTAATAAACTGTATATTCTTGGTTCAGCTACTGGTTAACTTTATTTAATTAAACAACATGAGTTGTATTTCACGACCAAATATAGAAAAAATTTAAATTACAATGTAATATATAACAATGTAATGGTGAAATATCAAGAAAAGTTAAACAGGTTACGTGGATGCTTCTAAATCTAAATTTCTTGTTTTTCCTTCAGTAATTAAATAATTCATATTACTATTAAATTATTTAGAGATGGATATTATCTTTGGCTGTTTTGTTAAAATTATGAAGATGATAAATAATCATGATTACATTTGTTTTGTTCTGTTTCCTCAGGAAAATCTTGAAATTTAGAATACTCGTATTATTAAATTACTATCAATCCATATCAAACTTATAATTCGTTTTTAGACCCTTGTTAATGGAAAATAATTCAGGACCTAATTTTATCTAAAGATCGTTATTCGATCAAAAATCTGGCAGATTTCTGGTACAATAAGCAGACTTTTTTTTTTTAAAGAAAAATTTAAGAGGATGAGTAAAAAGATATCAAGTAAAAAATGATCCTTTTTCGGGAAAATGTTTAAACCTGATTTCGCCCGTCCCTAGATGAAAAAAAAAATTGTTAGATCGCATTTTGCTATTTATTGATTTTTCTATGCACTTATGACAAAAGCGTCGGAAAGAAAAATGCAATTGCTATATACACCACAGCAAATAATCAGTAAAGTTTGACTTGAACTCGTAATACTTACCTTGATAGAAATGTAGTAATAAAATTGTATCGTTGAATTACGTGACGCTTGATGAAGGGAAAAGTTTTTATTTTTCTCCTTAAGGAAATTATTTGAGAGCAAGGTTTTCCTAATAGGGCAAATCGGAAAGAGCAATCAGAGGAATAAAGTGGCCGATGAGGATTTTTCCTTCAAGTTGCCAATACCACGCTCTTCGCCCTGCCAATCATCATCCGAGATCCGTCATCAAGTCACCCACTAACACCAAAAGTTTCCAATCGCTTTTCACGTCACTATTCCCTTCATCCTCTCAATCGCACAACGGATTACAGTCTCCACAATCCGCTAACACGAATCACCACGCCGAATGTTTTTATCTTAAAGAAAGATACCTTTGAAAGAAGATTGCATGTCAGAGAGTGGACATTGATCCCGAATAAATAGTTCTATCCCCCTTCGGGTTACGCTCTAGATAAGTAAGAAAAAAAGGTGGTGCGCGCATCACACAACTTTCACTTACCGCCCTGCTTTGAATAGAAATTATTTTTTTAAAATATTGAACTATTACAATTTTTTAAAAGTTTATTTTTAACAAGCTTAAACCTTACAAGTTTAATACCCATTAAGACCATTAAAACAACACAAACTCTATTTTTAATATCGACGGAAGGCAATAAAAACCTCGTAACTCCATCTGTTTTTGTAAATCACATTACTTCAGTCTCTTAACAACTTCCGGTGAAGTTTAATAATTTAATTTGAAAAGTTTACATTTCATTTTCTTGGAAAAATGTGGTTTTCGTTAAATAATTTTAGTTTTCAGAAATTATTGTTTTTCGCTATTCTCCACTAACTTCTACGGCTTTACATTTTAGATATTGTTTTTTTTCTAAAATTATCAGCTTTCCTACGAAATATTATTTTTAATTTTCAAAAATATTACTCTTGACTATTATTTCCAGGGATTTAAAATGAAAAAGAAAACACTTCCTTTTTTTTTTCCTTTCTTTCAATTATAAAATTCCTTCAAAGATTCAAAGGTTATGTTTAGATTTCTTTCATTATTAGTAACAACGATAGAAAGTAAATATTAAACAAAAAAATTAAAGGTACTTTAGAGGAAGAAATTTCGATCATTGGGCAGTTAAGCCATGTTAAGCGACTTCAATGGGAATAAAATCTAAATAATATTAAATTTAATTATACATTCATACAACGAGTTTACAAAATCGTTAAAGCTGTTTTTGAGAAAATTTTAAAAATGTGTAAAATCGCTCATATAAATTAGCACTTCCGGTTAGCCGATTTTAAAGGAAAAGCTTTGCTATCATTAACATTAATGTCCCAAGTATTGTACGACTTTACCGTTTTGGGCTAGACACATAAACAGGACATTTTCTGGGACTTGGTAATTTGGACACAGAAGACCTGAAAACGTGTATATCCGTTGAAAACTCAGATTCGAACATTTTCATGATCATATAATACTTTCTCTTACTACACATTACATATATAGGTATGTGGAAGTAAAAATATGTAAAAGTGTGGACTTAAAGGAGAATATAACAGATCAACAGTGAAATACATCGGAGATCATGGCACTCCTCAGAGAGACTTTAATGAAGCTAACCTAATAAACAAAGAAATCAAATAAATTACAATTAAATAAGAAATAATAAACATGACAGCCGTCTCCGCCGACTTAGTAATCAAGTCATCCCTGGACTCGACGAGAGAACTTCCGCTACTTCAAATTTAAGACACGTCATTCTTGAAAAAGATACAACGGATCAAAACAAACTTTTTCTAGGATTTAGGCTTTTTGGATAAAAATTAAGTTCTGTTTCAATTATCTAAATCGTTAATCGAATTTTAACTTAAATATATCTGACTCATAGTACCATGGAATCCATTAACAGTTAATGTTATTTAAACCTTCAATAAATATAATTAAAATTTTAAAATTTCTATATTTATGATGTAGCATATATTTCCACTGTATTATTTAAGTATAATAAATAACATATGAAATACAAGATAATATATACTTATATACATATGTAGTCATGAAAATGTTATTGAATCCTTGAGTAAATATAAATAAAAACTACTATTTTCGTTTCTAATAAAAAAATTAACATTTCCATAAGTCACATACATTATCATCATCACAATATTTACTACAGTTTTAGGCCAATACAAATAATAAGAGTTAAAGGACTGACTTCATTACTCAGTAACTAATAGAGTTCAAATAACTTCCATTAATAATTAAATGAGCAATAACAGACAACTTCTGTTTTATTAATATGCATATAATACAAATATAATATTATATATATATATATATATATATATATATATATATATATATAAACATATTTATATTTAAAAGAAAGTTTGTATATATAAATTATAGGTTAATAAATTTTAGATATAAATTCATACCTATACATTTATTGATCTATTATCTTTTATAGAAGTATATTTTTCTATTTTGCTATTTGCTCTATTTATATATCTATATTAGCAATTTTTGACTGTTGCAATAATCATATTGAGTGAATAACTAATTAGCTGTAAACTAACCTGAATGTTATGAACAATATAATATAAAATTTCCAAAAATATAATGTCACTTTTTTGTTTAAGATATACAAAATAATACGAAGACATTTATTTCAGATTTCAATTTAAAATCGTGAAGTAGATAATTTTGTAGGGTAAATGTTATTTTATTTCTGAACATTTTATTTGTTAATTGTTGCCATTATTTCCATATTTTTTAGTATTTATTTAATTTTTGTGGTTTGAGTTCAAAATGTAAATGTATCATAGCAAAAATTTCTCTTCAATATCAAGGTATATTTATAGAGTGCTATTCACTGTGACAAATTGTAATATTTCTGAATAAAGTGTTTTAATAGTAGAATGCTATTCAAATATATCGTTTAGCTATTTACTCCAACAACTTTATTTCAGAGTTTGTTTGTTTTTTTCAGTAAACAAATATATTTAATAACCAAAAAAAAAAACAAAAAAAAAAAAACTGGAATGAAGTTCATTTGCTATGCGTTTAAATAGCTAATGTAGAAATAAATTAATTTACTCTGACCAATGTAAAATAAAATGATTTAAAAAAAAATGTGATAAGAGAGCTTAAATGATTCTCTAATCAGCAAAAAATAATTGTTATACAAATATTTATAGAATAATCTCTGTATAGGCACACATAAATATACTTAATTACCATATTTGAATTAGAAAAGAATAGATAAGGATCTTATAGTGATTGACAAATTAAATCCTTTATCATGGAGAATGTATACCAATAAATTTAAGGCCAATGATAATTTCAGAACAATCGTTCAAAATAATAAATTTTATTATTCAAATTCTTTTTGTTTAATTAGTAAAGTTATAGCAGGAATAATATATTTTTAAAAAAAGGTATTTAATGCATGGTTTTATAAATTGAAACATCAGGTTTATTTCTTTATTTTTTTTTTTTACATTGAAAAAGAATAATTTCAATGAATAATTTTATGCTAAATTAAAATAAGATTTTACAACCATAATTAAAATGGATTTATTGATAAATAGCAACAAATGACAGCACTGTTCTCTTATCACCTTTTGAGTAGGAAAAAGCTAAATAAATTCCTATTTATGTGAAATAATATGAAATTTGTGAAAACCATAGCACGGCTGAGAGATCACTTTCACACAAGCCTTCCCGGTCAATCAGGCGATTTTGAACGGGGTCAGCTACATTTCGCGGCGTTATATTTTTTGGGTGATTAGGTGAAATCTTTCAAAAATCGAACTATATTTTTTTATTTGTAGTGGGTCTTACTAGAGACGTTTTATTGTATTGTACTTTCGAGCAAGGTTTCTTTCAGACACTTTCTAGGTCCATTTTATTCCTTTTCATTTCAAATAGGTCTTATCAAATGGGGTATTTGGAATGATGTTGGACAGAGGCTATGCAGATCTATTACGAATATCTACTTCTACTGAATATTGAAAGATGTACGTACCTCTTCCTCTGGATTGTCCTGGCACAGGGCCAGTTGTCCTGACTCGGATCCTCCGGGGTTCATCACCTCTGTCCTGGGCCGCTTCCCGGTCTCGCTCCCCACCAGACTACGGAGTCTCTTCTGACCGGGGCCACTGGAAGGATCCACGATTAGTCCTATCGTTCTTGACCGTCCTCCAGCGTCCGGCCTTACTCCGGCGGGAGGAAATTAGTCAGCACACAGAAGATACAAACAGATATATATATTATATGTATATGTTTTCGAGTGTGTATATATACCATATATATACACACGCAGGGGTATATGTCAATATATGGGGAAAGAGTGCGAGAGAAGAGACCGGTGACGCGATATGAGAGAGCTATAACTCCGAACAGAACATAACAGGACTCCCTGAGCTACTACTGGAGTGGCTCACGTGCTGTGCCGCCGCGACGCGGGCGCCCTCTACCCCCCACCACCGCCCCCACCCCCCCTCCCCTCCCGCAATAATCCATACGGCCCCTTCGTACCTGCCCCGGCCGAGGGTAGGCGCCACCTTACCATTATCTCACATGTCAAATATCACACTACCCCTATCGGACACTATCTATCAAATTAATCGAAATTTTAATAACAGAACAAGACATTAGACTTTTCAATGAGAATCACAACCAAATTAAAACTGCACAGCAAATAAAAAGTAAAAGGGAGAAAAAATAAATAAAATTTAAGAACTATATCTCTATGCATAAATTATTAAAAATATTTTTATGATTATCCCAAATATAATATAATTTTTTTTTAGTCTTAATTTCATAATCAAACTATCCGAATTTATTAAAATATTTACTTTTACATAAAAATAAATAAAACAAAAAAGAAAATTTATTTCAATTAAACAACAATTAAAAATTTATATTATGATGGTGGAAAATTGTTGACTGCTGGAAAATACTGTTGAAGAGAATTTGGTTAGGAATTTTAGTGTACTTCTAATGACTACAATCCCCAACCAACTCTTCAATAAAATTTAATGTTTTGCCGTTTTACATATTTTTTTTTTTTCGAAAGAATACAAATTTATATTTTTTTATTTCCCATTCTCGCATGTCAAATTAAAAATATATAAATAAAAAGATTATTTTTGTTATTATATATTTTCTATGATTTGGACATTTCGAGTATGATTCGTTCATTTTATTTTATTTCTTCAGCATATTATGTGCTAATAAAAAAAAAAACTGTTTTTTTTTTATTTTATACATGAGCAATGTTGAAGATGAAAAAAAAATATAATGAAGAAAGTTAAGTAATATAATTCAATTAGTGTTTATGAGATTCTAAAATATTCAGTATTGGTCATAATCATAGTCATAAGATCACATTTCATATATTTAAATAGTATCCAAATCAATTTTTGCAATTTCAAATGATGATCGTCAATAATATTTTCTATTTCTCCTCCTTGCTTGACAACATGTCAAATTAAAATATGAAAACAATAATTATAGTTTTTGGTTTATTTTATTTTTTATGTTATTATTTTTAGGTCTGGGAGATGATTTGATCCTCTAAAAAAACAATATAACAAAAAAAAATTGCCACTATATTATTTTTGACCAAGCTATCTTTATCCAAGTTTGAGCCAAATCGAACGAATCCTTTCTGAAATATTTCATATCTAAAAAAATACGTTTGCGCGTGTGTAAGCGAGAGTGCTGGATGTATGTGTTTGATGGATTAATGAATTTGATAAAATTGATATGGGACCATATAGGCACCAATTCGTATAATCCCTGAAAATTCCATGAAAATCGGATGGACGGTACTAGGTTATGTGCCCGTCACATCGATTTGACTACAGACACACAATGAACCAAATTTGATCCTTGATGTCTGAAACGTAAAACGCGATTGGAAATTTCCGATTCTGAGCACAAATTTTTTTTTAACCTCTCGCAGGATCACAATACTTCCCTTACCTTCGGTAGTGAGGAAGCAAAACAATAAACACTATTGCTGTTTTTTTTTTTTTCAATTTCATACGAGGTCAATGTTAAAGGAGGAAAAAATATATAATGGATAATGGTAAGTAATATAAACTAATTAGTTTTTATCCGATTATTATATTTTGCCGGAAGAATCATAAGCCCTTTTCAGATATTTGAATATTCGAAAACGTTTCTTACACTGTTTCCGATTTATGTTTTCCAATCTCTTATGATTTTAATGATTGTATGATTTACACCATTTAAATAATTTCTATAAATCTATAAAAAATATCCTGATTAGTCATTAATTATTTTTCGGAGTAACTTTTATAGAGAAACCATACGAAAATGCTTACAAATAATTAAAATATTCATAATTACAAAAAAAAAACATAAGTATACATAAATTAAAAATTATGTTATATGTTATTCTCGTTTACATAACTGAAACTTTTTTATCTGAAAATACTTTTTGTAAATAGTATACAAATTTTTATTAAATTTATTTAATAATAGTCAAATGTTACTCACATGTCAAATTTTTCTTTTGATATTTTAAAAACATTTTTTATTTTCAATTTATGAGGCAAGGATAGAGAAATGAAATATAATGAATTAAGGAAAAAATATATAAACTAATTAGATTTGGTTGTTATATTTTCAATAAAAATGTATAAGCCTATTTCCAAGTTCATTTAAATCATAAGTATGAAATATTTAAATTATATCTGAAAACGTTTCGCACATTTTTCCACATTTCACGATAAATAGTTTCCCTTTCTATTTATTTATTTTAATTTTTATGTTTGGTAATCATAAAGAACTAAGTTCGGTCAACGAGTCTGAAATACAGAGGCATATTATATGCTGAAGAGATGAACTAATGTATTTCCGATACGTACAAATAATAAAAAATTGATTTGATAAGTGGGAGACGAAATAAAAAAGAAAGAAAGAAAAAAATAGAATATGAACTAATTATCTTTTATTCGATTGTTTATTTTCAGAAAAAAAAAATACAAGAGACCTTTTATTTTCCATTTTACAAATTTAAATAAAACATTTACACTTCGACGTGACACATGCCCACCTGTTTATATCGGCGACAACCAAATCCCTCAGACGAACACTGTACGTTATTTCAGGCTAATATTCGACAGAAGGATGACCTGGGGCCCACATGTTAAAATGAAACGATAGACTTTGAACAAGCGACTGAAAATATTATACTCACTTTTTCCCAAATCAAAACTGAAAACCAGACAAAATCTAAACGCATACACTTACCCATATGGACATACGCCTCAAAAATTTACGGTTCTGCAAAAAAAGGCGCACTTACAAAAAGTACAATCATTTCAATCCTAAATTTTAAGGCTAATAACATCAGCTCCTTGGTACGTAAACAACAAAACCTTACATACAGACCTATGACAACCAACTACCGACCAACACATACCTACTCTCTACTCCCGATCTCACCTTAAACAACACGAACTTATTAACTATATGGCCATCTATACTTTTGAGTTTTTTTGAAAGGCAATGAAATTCTCTATATAACTGTATAAAAACCGTTCATTTCGGACCGCTATTAACTAAGTTACAGGTATTCAATTTCCAATGTAAGATTACGGGTTCATATCTTGGTGTCAGAAAGGGGTGAATGAGAGAAAAAAGATAACTAAGTGAAAGTAAGAAAATCTGTTTCCCGCTTCACTATTTCCTCTACTTTTAACAGAGTCTCCTCTACTTTTCTATTTTAATCGTTTGACAAAATTAGGCTGGTGCAAAAAGTTTTTGATCAGCAATATTAGAGGGTATTGAAATTTTTACACTGATATACCTTAAGCCGGTTTACATTGCTATAGTTTATCGAATAAATCGTATAAATCTCTTCTTTGATAAATTTTCAGGAAAATAATTCTAATTCAATTTTTACTTATTTCTTGATGCACATATGTAAAGATATAAAAACTTTTCTGAAATAGGTAGGAAAGTCGTGTGAGTGGACATACCAGATTTTTTTTTTTATACAGCTTGAGATTGATTTTAACTTATTTCGGTATAAACACTCAACTCAATTAATATGGACTTAAAGATTACTAAACGAGAAAGTTTTTCTAAAATTGGGGTGTCTGCAGTATAGGTGGAGTGAAATTTGTAAATGCTCTTTTTACTAATTACAAAAAAAATGTTAATAATAATGATTTTTAAAATGTATTATTTAAAATGATTATAAATTGTGTTTTCATTAAGCTCTGCATTATAGAAATTTATTTATATTTATAAATGATCAATTAATTATTTCCACTCCTAATATTTACGATTTCATGAAATTAATTCAAGCAACAAGGAAGCTTCTTTAATTTACACGTAGATATTAGAACTGGAATCGTTTAATTGGTCGGTTATAAATATGTATATACATATCTAGCTGCATGGTGATAACAAAAACCGCGATAATTCAAGATTTTTTAAAAATAGAAGCTAGCTTAGTGTAGCCGCTCAGAGGACCTCGTCAAATGATTTTAACAACGACAAACTTCACTTTCGCTTATAGTAAATTTTGTCAAGTTTACAGTGATTCAATTTTTAATTAATTATATTACATTATGTTTTAGCTATCGCTTCATATTAATAAAAAAACTATGACTTATTAAAAAAACACAAAACTTAAACTTCTTACTATTCTGCCGAAATACGGACAATTGGTTATATGAACTTTTTTTATAGCACTTGAAGTCTACTATTACCTGTTTAAATATTTAACTCTACTTGCCGGACACCCTGCATATCTGGATATCCTTGTATTTTATGATTTAATCACTCCTAATTTTTTCATGTGATTATTCACATTGTCGCGGCGGACTAGTGGACAGAGAAAAAAGTTGTATTTTTATTTGAGATTTTACTCACTGATAAAAAGCCGTGTTTTTTTATAGAAATAAAAAATATTTCTTACTTTTGAACATCATCCATTTTTAGCTAAAAAGTACTGAACGTGTACCAACGTTATGGAGGATGTTTTTCTAACCACTATGTCTAATATAAACAAATAAGTTATAGATCCAATTGTATTTATTTTTTAGATATATTAATGTATACATATATAAGTAAAACAAAAATAAATAAAAATCCATATATCCAAACAAACATATCAATTTTAAATATCCAATATTATATTTGTTCGTTTCACAATAATCATATTGAATTTTTACACATAAACACAAATAAAAACTCCCGCCATTTTTTTTTATTTTTAGTCCATCGTCCCCTCCACCCTCAATCAAAATCAAAAGTCTGCACCTATGGTACTGAGTACCAAGTATTTTACTCAATTACTGGCCTTTTTTGAGTACCAAAGAACTTAATTACTACTTAATTTGATGTCAAATTATTTACTGAAATAGTGATTCAATTCCCAATAGTGATTAAATTTGAATAAATTACTTCGTTTTGCCCATATCAGTCGACGACTGAAAGAATATTTTTTAAAATCTGAGAAGTCTGAAACTTGTAAGCTAAAGTCTGAAACCTGTACAAAAAAATAAATTGAATAAAGGGAAAAGGAGAACAGATAAAAAGGGGTTTGATTCCTTCATTAATGCTTACCTGAGGGAACTGA